TGGTGCGCTCACTGGCTGAGCGCAGTGCGGCCGGTCTCAAAAAGGACAAAAAAAAAAAAAACCAAAAAACAAAGTGATAGAATCTTGGTAAAGTGATGACCTGAGTCTGGATTCCCACATTACAGTTTTACCGTTTTAATTCTGAAAATAGTAATGTCATCTATCTTATTTCTGTATAAATACAGTAATTTAAACGTACTGTTTTTCTTACCTAGATTGTCTTACAAGGACATGCAACAAGAGTAACAGCTAAATCTCAACAGAGTGGAGAGAAGGCCTTTCGATGTGAATATGATGGATGTGGAAAATTATATACAACAGCTCATCATCTTAAGGTATCAAAGAAATGCTGTATCAAGTTATGAGAACACCTAGGATGTTGATTACTAACATGATATACTGTAGCATTCAACGCCACTCTTTTCTCCCACTTATCAAGATACTGACACTCACACTCATGCACAGACATACAAAAGCCTCTCCATACTTTAGAAACTGTCAGTTCTTTGAGGGCTTGGATTATATTTTCTTCGTCTCTGTATCCCTAATGTCCAGCAGACTACCTGGCACATGGTAGGTACTCTGTATATTTGAATACATTTTGTCAAATATGGGATTTATATAATTATATGAGTGACGTGTGTAATCACTCTGTTTTTTTCTAACAGTGATTTGCTAGACTCTAGCAAAAATTGGTGTTAATTTGTCCTGTCTTTCAAATATTTGGGCCATGTATTTTTATTTTAATTGCAGCTAAACACAACAGAACATACCATGACTCATAATAATAATAGCTAAGATTGACTGAATAACTTACTTAATGTGTCAGGAGTTGTGCACTTCGCATATTTAGAGTGGTAGCTCTACAGCTCATCTCTACTACTTATCAGTGTGTAACATTGACATGTTACTTGACCTCTTGGTCCCTTATTTTCCTCATCTATAATATTGGATCATAAAAGTACCTCCCTCACAGTGGTTCTGAGAATTAAATAAGTTAATATTGTACATGTAAAGTACTAAAAAGAGTGGCCTGGTATGTGGTAAAAGTCCAGTAAATGTTGGCCACTGTCATAGTTACTCACTTGTCACAGCAGCCCTTTATAGTGGATACTATTATGTCTCCACTTTGCAGTGAGGACTTTGAGGCTTAGAGAAGGCAAGTGCCCATAGCCACACCACTAGGCGGTGGTGGAGCCTTGCCTCAGATCCAAGCCCCTCTAGCAGCAGCCTGCATGCTGTGAACCTTACCTTGTACATTGCACTCCCTGCACTCTGTTCCTAGTTCTCATCATGTATATGTTTCAAGCAAACACCTTTGATCACTCTAGAAAAACTCAAACCTTAGGTAACACAGCTCTTTATTTAAAATGAGTACTTATACATATATAATATTTAGGTCTGTATTGAGAATTATTGGGCTATAGTTTTTATGAAAAGTTATCTTTTATTTCTTAAAAAAGCATACAACAAAATCATTCATTACTGATGGAAAAAATAAGTCTATGTTGAGACCATCTACTACCTGAAAAATGCCTAAAGGAAATAGAATCATGCCTGCATTTTAATAACAGGTTCATGAGAGGTCACACACAGGAGACCGGCCTTATCAGTGTGAGCATTCAGGATGTGGGAAAGCATTCGCAACAGGTAAAATATAAATTTTCTTCATTCTTGGTTCCAAATAGGGGTTGAGCAGAGAGAAGCCAGAGGCAGGAATTGACCCCTTGCTTTTGAGTCCACAGAAGTACATGGTCAGTTCTTCAGTCTCTCTCTTAACTGCCTCTTGTCCTGATTGCTCAGGGCCCCTTCTCTGTTCTCATTTTTCTCCACAGACCTGTCTCTGTTTACTGTGTTCAGTGCTTTTTACTCTACCTTCTGCTTTCTTTTAGCAAGAAAAATGAAAGTCATGCATCAAAAGCTGACATAGACCTTAACATTAGGACAGACCTTAGGGAACCATGGAGAACTCAGATTTAGCAGTGGGACAGGGCCTGCCCAGGGACACATCCAACAGGGCCAGGACTGGTACCAGGTCTCCTGACTTCCATTCCTGATTCCATTCTTGATTCTACTTTAAGTTTTGGGGGTATGAGTTGTGAATTACATCCAGTAAAATTGAGGCACATAAAAAAGAAACATATAGGGCCGGCCCGGTGGTGCACTCAGTAGAGCGGTGGCGCTCCCGCCGAGGGTTCGGATCCCATAAAGAGACCGGTCCGCTCACTGGTTGAGCGCAGTGCGGGCGCGACACCAAGGGTTGCGATCCCGTTCCCGGTCACGAAAAAAGAAAAAAAAGGAAAAAAAAAAAAGAAACATATGGGGCCGGCCCGGTGGTGCACTCAGTAGAGCGGTGGCGCTCCCGCCGAGGGTTCGGATCCCATAAAGAGACCGGTCCGCTCACTGGCTGAGCGCAGTGCGGGCGCGACACCAAGGGTTGCGATCCCGTTCCCGGTCACGAAAAAAGAAAAAAAAGGAAAAAAAAAAAAGAAACATATGGGGCCGGCCCGGTGGTGCACTCAGTAGAGCGGTGGCGCTCCCGCCGAGGGTTCGGATCCCATAAAGAGACCGGTCCGCTCACTGGCTGAGCGCAGTGCGGGCGCGACACCAAGGGTTGCGATCCCGTTCCCGGTCACGAAAAAAGAAAAAAAAGGAAAAAAAAAAAAGAAACATATATACAACCTCTTCTAGAAAGAGATGAAACTATTGAATTTTCAGTGTGATAGTCCTTAGCGCATACATTTTTAGTAGTTTCTCTAATGTATTTGCCTAGTAATTTATCCCTGGCGTTTACTATATTTTTCAGTAGCTTAATCTCAATGTGCATGTTTAGAGGGGTATTGTGTAAGTAAATTTTTCTTACAGGTTATGGATTAAAAAGTCACGCGAGAACTCATACAGGAGAAAAGCCATATCGATGTTCAGAAGATAATTGTACTAAAGCTTTCAAAACTTCAGGAGATCTACAGAAACATATCAGAACTCACACAGGTACTAGTGTGAACAGAATATCATATCTTGGCCAGGCATTCTTAATCTGTAAGGAGGAGACTGGGGTAAGGAGTCTCTGGAAGAGTTTCAGGGAATCAACATCAGGGGCTTCTCTTAAGTTCCTGAAATTCTATGCAATTTGCTGTTCGTGTATGTATGCTTCTTTCCACAATAAGGGCTCATATCTGTTAGATTCTCAAAGGAGGTCATGGCCCATAAAAGATTGAAAATTGCCCTAGACCACCATCACCCTCAGTTTTCAGGAATTATCTGAGCAACAAGCTTATTTACCTAGAATTACACATCAAATTAGTAGCCAAACTGAGACTAGAACCTAAGGCACCCAGTTCCTTCTTAATATAGTATTGCTTCTCCTGCATTGAGCTGCTGCTAAAGTATCTGAACCCCAAACAGCCCCACAAAAGGAAAGACTTGTTACTTCCTTGTGATGATCTCTCCCCTTTAAATTTCTTTATTTCCTTTTCCTAAATGGTCCTTTACTCGTATATCATCTTCCCTCCCTTCTCTTTCTATTTGATTACTTGTGGAATTGGTATTATAAAGGTAATTATTTGCTTTTGATCAGAGCTGAAAAAATTTCAGAAACTGTTGATAAGAGATATTATTATAAGCTGTTGACTAAGTAATTATTGCATAAGATTATTTAGTTTGGGGTTTTAGTACTGATGTTTTAAACATGGTATGATAACTGTGTCCTCAAATGCTGCAATTTCTGTACTTCTAAATATTCTGAAATTGTTTAGCAAATTTCCATGGAAGATTTTCCAGACATTAAGGTTTAACCTTTAGCTCAAATATGAGTATGATCCCAAATTGTCTTTACTTTACAATAATTTGGCTCCATTAATATTGATCAAAAACATCAGAATTGTTATCCCTTTGGTAGTATTCATTCAGCAGACCACATGTTCATACACCAGTTTTAAATCATGATATTTTCATTGGTATAATATTGAACTGAGTTAAGGAGCTTAGGAACTTCTATTACAAACATAGGTGATTTCAGTGCAAAAATAAAGCAGTGTGCTACAGAGTCATAGTAATAGCATATACAGGAATAATACAATGAAAGTTGTCTTAGAACAGTTGATTCCTTATCATAGCATGCCAGAGCTGGGAAGACTTTAGACGTCATCTAGATTCATGGAGGAGAAGGGACTCGCCCAAAATAAACTTTTTTGGCGGGGGGGCTGCTAACTGGCATGGGGATCCAAACTCTTGACCACGGTGTTACAAGGTGGCACTCTACCAAATAAACTCCTTGTTCTCCTTAGGTTGACATATTGAAAAAAACTCTCATTAAAGAAACGATCAGAGATTTCTGATCCTTTTATTTTTTAATTTTTTTTTTTGCTGGCTAGCCAGTACAGGGATCGAACCCTAGACCTTGGTGTTATCAGCACTATGCTCTACCCAGCTGAAGCTAACTGGCCAACCTTCTGCTTCTTTTGAAATGATTTCCTACTTGAGGGCAGAAATCTTTTAAAATGGTTTCCACCAGCAGAGAAATCATAATTTAATTTGGCCAAAAGAAATATAACAAACTTACTAGATATATAGATAAATATTTATATCTATGTACACATTTGTGCAAGTATATACAGAGAGTTTTTTGGGGTTTTTTTTTTTCCTGCCCCAGAATTGTTTGCTTAATTTTAGCTCATTCTAGAAAAGGGCACATGGGAATCAAAAGCAAAGACGACTTCCTGCTTGGGTTCCAAGGTTGTATAAAGCAAATATGAAGGAAAGGAATGTAATTGGCAAAGTAGACTTTTCATGAGCTTAGATTATGAGAAAAGTAATATGTTCAGCAAGTAGTTTTGATGTGTATTACGTGCTAGACACTAGATTTTAAAAATAACAAAAATTATTTTTCTTCAAGTATTAATAGAATAAATAAAGTAGGAGATAAGCTTTTAGGGAATTCAAGGGTTATTCCAATTTAATCCTTTTTCTTGATTATTTTTCTTTTATATTTCTTTATGATATTTCTTTTTCTGCTTTTCTCAGTTCATTTTTTAATATGCCCACCTGGGTGATTCCATTTTTGAGTCATGCAATCAGTTATGAGTTTTGAATGCTGTTCAGGGTTTTTATTTAAATTTAAGTTTGGAGTGGAAGATGCTATTTCCAGAAAATAAGAAATGCCTGAAAAGGAAACTCAACACAAGAAGGCTAGAGTCTTGAGTGTAATCTCAGGTGGAATTGAAGGATAAGATATTTCAATTTTCTCTATGTATTTGCTCCATTTAATTTATTCCCTTTTGTATTTTTAGGAGAAAGGCCCTTTAAGTGTCCCTTTGAAGGCTGTGGTCGGTCCTTTACAACATCAAATATCAGAAAAGTGCATATTAGGACACACACAGGAGAAAGACCTTATTACTGCACAGAACCAGGATGTGGGAGGGCATTTGCCAGTGCAACCAATTATAAAAATCATGTGAGGATACACACAGGTAACAACTTCTGATCTCTTGGTCTTTTATCTTTCAAAGCTCGGTTTAACTCCTGCCTTTTCCAGAAACCATTTTCAGCTAATCTCTTCTCTCCTTCCTACCACTTGGCATAGTAGAAAGGGATTAAGCACTTAAAAACATTTTGCCTTAGCATTTAACATCCATTCATTCAACAAACAATTATTGAGCATCTATTGCATGTTCCCCTGCCAGGCAACAGAGATATAGAGACAGATAAGACATTTTCAAGGTCAGTCTAGTTGGGGAGAGATAGTAGACATAGAATTGCTGCACAGTGTCTCCCATTGTATGAACAAGATGCTGTGGGAGCAGAGAGAGGAGATGTCGTTTTTGCGGGAATGGGAGAAATGTTCTGGGAAGGCTTTACACAGAAATTTGACTTTTAGACTGAATCCTGAAGATTGCCAGGAAGACGGGAAGATATTCCTGGCAGGGGAGTAAAAGCATAAAGGTATGAAAAAGCATGATATTCCAAATGACTGGAATATAGAGTACACGTGGAAGAATTGTAAGAGGTGAGATCAGAAAAGTAGTCAGGGGCCTGTGTGTTGTGCTGTCATGATAAAAATATTGCTTAAATTGGACTTTGTGGAGCTTGTGGGACAGAGTGGGAGGGGTGGCCTATGGTCTTTTTTTTTTTTTTTTTTAAACAGTTTTATTGAGATAATTCACATATACAATTCATCCATTTAAAGTTCGTGATTCAACTTTTTAAAAGTATATTCACAAGGTTGTGCAACTATTACCACAATCCAATTTTAGAACATTTTCATTTCCCCTCAAAGAAACTACATACTTGGTAGCAGTCTTTTCCTCACCCGCACCCCCCTGCTATAAGCAATCACTCATCTACTTTCTCTCCCTACAGATTTGCCCATTCTGACATTTTCGTATAAATGGAATTATACAATATGTGGTCTTTTTCATCTGGCTTCTTTCTCTTAGCATAATGTTTTTGAGATTCAGCCATGTCATAGCATCTTTCTTTTTCATTCTTTCCTTTTTAAATTACTGAATAATATTTCATTATATAGATGTACCACATTTTATATGTCCATTATTCAGTCATTTTCACTTTCTGGTTAGTATGAATAATGCTGCTATAAGCATTTATGTACAAGTTTTTGTATGGACGTATCTTTTCGTTTCTCTTGTGTATATACCTAGGAGTGGAATTCCTGGATCATGTGGTAACTCTGCATTTAACATTTTGAGGAACTTCCAAATTGTTTTCCAAAGTGGTGGCACCTTTTTGCAATCTCATAAACAATGTGTGAGGGTTCCAGTTTCTCTACACCCTAGCTAACAGTTTTTATCTACTTTTTTTGATTATAGCCATCCTAGTGGGTGTGAAGTGGTATCTCATTGTGGCTTTTGGTTGGCATTATCCTGATGACTAATGATGTTAAGCATCTTTATATGTGCTTATTGGCCATTTGTATATCTTCTTTGGAGAAATGTCTGCTCGGATCCTTTGCCCATTTTTTAATTGGGCTGTCTTTTTATTATTGAGTTGTAAGATTTCTTTATTGTATTCTGGATATAAGTTCCTTATCAGATATGTGATATATCTGATATCGTTACAGATTTTTTTTCCATTCTGTGGGTTGTATTTTCACTTTCTTAATGGTATCATTTGCAGCATAAAAGTTTTTAATTTTGATACTCGCATTTTCCAGATGCATTTTTGGTGGGTGGGAATGGAAGGGCAAGGCAGGATGTACATTAGTTTTACAAGAAAAATTTTAATATATTGTTATTACTGGTATTAAGGGTAAACTTCTCACGTTAATTCAAAATTAAAAGACATTTTCACAGAATGAAACTTTAGTTGCTTAAGTTAGTGTTTCTGAGGTTGTATTCTACAAACCCCTGGTGATCTTTGGAAATATTTTAAGGGATTCACTATAATACCTTTTTTTGAAAAGGGTAGATTAGCAATTTGAGTACTGTTATGGACAGAGGAGAAGCCTTAAGCAGATTTAAAGCAAGTTTGCTTTTTTAGAAGAAAATCATTCAGACAGTAATAAATACAGAAAGAAGTCAAAAGGAGGTGAGATCATAAGCAGGAGATTAAGGGCTGTTAGTATATTCAAAATGAATGAGATAGAGAAGGATACCAATGAAAGACATTGAAGAAATATTGGCAAAGGACTTGGTCATCAAGTTAGTCATGGGATTCTAGTCTGAAGGAGGGGTTAGATGATAATACCAAGATGGAGGAGCAGGTTGAAAAGGGAAGATAATGGTGCTGGTTTGGCATATATAGGTTTCTGGGCATCCTCTTACCATCTGTATTGTTGCTGTAATGATTTACAAAATTTTTACTGAAAATTTATGATCCAAATTGAAAACCCACTATAATGAACCTACTTTTGCACTCATTTTTCATGAAAGGAAAAATCTTTAAGTTGCATGTGAGTGTGAATGAGAGAAGATAGGATGCACTGAAGTCATATTTCTGATAGTCATCAGTCATGCTTACATTGTGTAAGTGTATTATGCATTATTGCTATTATCTTCCCTACATTAAGTTAAAGTGCCTTCTAAGAATGTGGAAAAAGCCTGTGAAAACCTAACAGGCCCGGAAAAGAAGGCTGTATATTAGAAGACATTGTATTTTGCTAATATAATTTGCATTCCTTTTACATCTTTAAGATAATTATTTTTAAATTATAGTGTATGTTTGCAGTGTAGAAGGAAAACAAAATTCCTCACCAGTACTTTATCATTGTGTATTACTCATAAACTTAAACCCACTAATGTTAAGTAATTACATAAATAATGTTTTTATTGCTTTTTATTATATAGACACATATTGGTGGATTATAACACAGGTGCTTAAGAGCCTTTTTGTGATATTTGGGGAATTTAGCTGAGGTTTTTGGCTGGGCTGGGAAAACATTATTTTTCCCATTTAAAGTAATGGGATATAGACTCATCTGAAAGTTTGCCATTGAGCATGTTTTATGGGCAAATTAGATTCCAATAAGAGAGATGCCAACATTAAGTTTGGCCATACTGCTATCTTTGGAACATTTAGATAGAGCAGTGCTGTCAAATGAGGCTGCACATTGGATTCACATTTTTAAAATAGACTGATTCCCCAGATCCTGTCTGCAAAGATTCTGACATAACTGTACTGGTGTGAAGCTCAGGCATCAGCACATTTTCAAAGCTCTCCAGGTCTTTAATATGCAGACATGGTTGAGGATCATTGAAGTAGATAGATCCAGTAAATAGTTTTAAATGTTGGTCTGACCCAAGAGGAAAGTCTGGGCTGGAAGAAAAGGTTGGCTAATGATACAGTAAATGCCTGAGTTATGCTGTAAGTGGAGTGTAAAGATTCAGCCATGTAAAATGCGAGTCCATTCTTGCAAGGTTGATTAGATTACCAAGGTGAGGCTGTACAGTTAGCCAATAGGGAGCTCAAAAGCTCTATCGTAGTTTTAAATGTTGGTCTGACCCAAGAGGAAAGTCTGGGCTGGAAGAAAAGGTTGGCTAATGATACAGTAAATGCCTGAGTTATGGTGTAAGTGGAGTGTAAAGATTCAGCCATGTAAAATGCGAGTCCATTCTTGCAAAGTTGATTAGATTACCAAGGTGAGGCTGTACAGTTAGCCAATAGGGAGCTCAAAAGCTCTATCCAGATCCATTCATTTCTTGACTGTGGTTTGGTGCCACCTAGAGTTTGTGTCTGCTCCAGACTAAATATCAATTGGGCTGATTTTCCAGGTTGAAACTGGCTGCCATTTCCCTTGACCTTACCACATCTTCCCAACAACCATCCACCAAGATAAGAACTTTAACCTGCCTGCTTTGTGAATGGGCACCGGGCAGAGGACAGAAAGCAATTTCCAATTTATATCTAAGACTTATATTGCATTACATTAGTGTGAGATTTTACCATTCGTGATTGTTTTTATTTTGTTTAGAGCCATGGGAAAAGATGCGGTTACCCAAGGAAGGTGTAAAATGAGAATAAACTAGAACATGCACATTATATGCACACTTGCATATGCACATTTTAGAAATTATGAGTTCATACCACTACATCCAATTCCAATTTATCCTACAGGATTCTTTTTTTCCCTTCCTCTCTTCCATACGTGTAAGCCCCTTCTTCCACATCGAGAACCTTGGCTTCCAACCGCATTGAAACATTTACTCATTTGCTAATCTTTTATTACATCTAAAAGTTTCAGAAGCACTTTTTACCTATTATCAATACAATGAACAAGCCTATTAAAAAGAGTTAAAGATTCATTCGTAATTCTTCCCCTCTCCCTCACCACCTAGCCCAAGACTGGGCATGAGTCAAATACAGTATATATGAGTTACTTTCACTGATTTATTTTCTCTCTTACCCCTACCCCTTAAGTGTAGTTAAAAGTATTAATTTAAACTGTGGTTAGTCTAATTTGTTTCAGTTTACTTTCAGTTTTAGGTCCTCATACCACCACAGGTTAGTCTAGATATTTTATGATATTAAGTAAGTATTGTTAATTTTGTTTACATTTTGTTTTTTAAAAAAAGGATCTATCTTTCAGACATACAGTCTGAAATATTTACAGATGAATTGGAATGCTATTTGGAACCGTTTCAGAATAATCCTAGGTAGGAAGGAAGAAGAAATATGTAGTAAAAAGTGAAACAATGTTGGCCATGAATTGATAGTTTAAGCTGGGGGGTTGGTACATGGGGTTTAGTATATTGTTTCACTTTTCTTTTGTTTATATTTAAAATTTACTATCATAAAAAGTTCTAAAAATATATGTACTGCCTGTAGTGTTCTCAAATTATATATGGAATAAGAATTAAAGTTTTTAGTTCCCTTTGTATTGCCTAGTTGCTATCAGTGAATACTCAATAGCTTTTGATTGGATATAAGAAGTCAGATGAGGTTAAATGAAACATACATGTCCTTTTAGATATATTGACATGTCCAGCTATGTCTAATAATAGACTTTTTAGAAAATCCTTTTTTTATTATCTCTATAAAACCTTTAGGATAAGCTGTATTCGTTATAATAATAATTGGATTATCATGGTCATTATTAGTATAGTATCATTAATAATATATAGATTATCTAGTTGCAGGAAACAATAAACTACAGTTTCATCAGAGTTAAACTGGGCAACATCTTCATCCTTTCTTTTCTCATCCCTTGAAATTAAGGGAAACATGGTATAGATGCACAGAGACAACACTCAGGGAGCAGACTGCCTTTTCAGCCAAGTCAGAACCATAGTCAGGGAGTGTTTTCTTGTGTGCTGCCGCATGGTAGAATGAGAAGGGATTTGGCAATATTTATTTTTAGAGGCTTCCCCCCACAATCCCCCAAGAAGGTATGTAATGATTATACCTACGTATGTAAAAGTTGACTTTTTGTTGTTTTTTGGTGCTGTTCTTTACTTAGGGGAAAAGCCATATGTTTGTACAGTTCCTGGGTGTGACAAAAGGTTTACAGAATATTCCAGTTTGTACAAACACCATGTTGTTCACACTCACTCTAAACCATACAACTGTAACCACTGTGGGAAGACATACAAGCAGATCTCCACGCTGGCCATGCACAAACGGACGGCCCACAATGACACTGAACCCATTGAAGAGGAGCAGGAAGCCTTCTTTGAGCCTCCCCCAGGTGAAGATTTTGTCTATTATATGTGTTCCTGAGTTTGAGAATCAACAGTTAAGAACATGATTTATGATTCCTAGCATTTTCTCAAATCATAAAGTTTCATTCATATAATCATACAACTTATAATTTACAATTGTGATAAGTGCTATGGAAGAAAGGTACTTGGTGCTCTGGGATGTCAGAGAAGTCTAGTCTGGGAGGTCAGAGAAGGCTCTCCTGAGGAAGTGACTTTTGGAGAGATCTAGACGGTAAATGGAGGTCAACAAGGTGAAGAAGCACGGGTTGGGGGGAAGAGAAGCAAGGAGCAAAGGCAAGAGAACATTCCAAATAGAGGGAATGGCACATGCATAAAGCCATGACATTGGAGAGAGCAGAGTAAGTTGGAGATACTAGAAGAAGCCTGGCCAGTATGATAGTTTGGCCTGGGAGGATGGTGTGAAATGAGGTGGGAGAGAGATGCAGGGGCAGCCAGACTATTTGGGTCCATTAAGGATATTGGTCTTAGTCATAAGAGCAGAGAAGCACTCCCAAATAACCCTTTATTGATTCAAGGGCTATTAGGTATGTTTTAAGAGACAAAATCATTAATTTCAATAAGAATAAACTCTTGGAAAAATATTTTAGAGAATTACATTCAGTGACTTTAGTAGATAATTAAGCATAGGTAGGTAAAAGGAGGTAGGTTTTTCGAAAACAAAACAAAACAGGTTGTCTTACAGTTTCATCAAATGCTTCTTTAGTGAAATAAATTTGAAAATTAAAAGAAGTCATCTTTTCTCCTTTTTAACAACTAATATTGAAGCATTGAAAAACATTTAGGTGAAAAAGTTGGCTGGAGAATAAGAAAAGAATAGATCACCTGCTCAAATGCTTTGCTTCCTGCTTCCATTACCCTAATCCCTGCTTCTCTGTAGTCCTAATTTGTCATTTCAAGTATTTGTTAGATGATAGTATGAAAACAATTCCTTCAATCTTGAGTACTATATTATTTCCTAGCTAAAACATTGTGAACTATGAACACTGTATTCGTAGTTACATATTACACATTTGGTGGGGAGATAATGGTTGAAGGGTACAAAGTTTCAGTTAGACATGAGGAGTAAGTTCTGGAGATCTATTGTACAGCACGGTGACTATAGTTAATAATAATATACTATATACTTGAAAATTGATAAGAGAAAAGGAGTAAATAAATATTACAACTGCTGAATCTTTTCGTTAGAAAGCAGGCTTTAATGATGTCACTTAGTTTGTAAGACTTTTCCTTTCTAACGCTTCCTCAGTCTATTCCTTAAATGTTGGTATTTTAGATTATCACAAGTTCTTGTATTCTAGAAAACAGTCTATAGTATAATAAAATACATTTTGTTTTTTTAAAAAACTAAACTAAGATTACTTTTCCAAGAGTAGGGATGGATTTGTGTTGTTCTTCTCTCACATGATCCCCTGAGTTTTGTAACCCTTTGGGATAATGGTATATAAATAGCCGTGGAACAGAACAAAAAGAAGTGAAGTAATGACTGTTATGGAAATAACACCTTGATGACTGTAGCCAGATTTAGTACATGCACCAACCACAGACTTTGAGAAGTACTCATAGATTAGCTAGCATATTAAGTCCTTCTTTGAAGGGGAAAATTTTTTTTGCTCTCTTTCTGGTTTCATGGAAGGTAGAAAGTGATGGAAGAAGAGAGGGATCAGTAATCTTCCTGGTTGCCAAGTATAGCAGTAATGGACTATTGAAATTGCTGTTTACTTGCTGGTTCTTGATGAAATAAAGAAGTGGATGGGGGTTCCTCTTCTGTTACTTATTAAATGATTAACCTTACCACAGATAACATGTCATTACATTGTCTTTATACAATGATGTCATTGTGTTCTGATGACTTGCAATCAATCACTTGTGTTAAAGACCAAGTAAATTATTATCAGTAGGTTGAGTTTACAGACCATTCAGTTTGTGGTTAATGTTTATGAAGATGGTCTTATCACTTTTAATGGCTTCTTAAGTGAATGCAAGACTGTTGTGCATACTTGTTATATTTGAAGGGTTATTTGCCAGTCAGTCTTTCCTATAGTTCCTCCCCTCCCTTTCCCCAACACACATGCAGTTTCACATAATTATTCCAACTAAGAAAAAAGAAAAGGTCCCCCAAAGTTAGAACATTTAAATTTGATGTGAAAATGTTTGATATAGTCTGCTTTAATTTGGTTTGCAAAAGTGGAGGTTGAGGAATTGGAAGGTGGTTCTGGAAGCTCTTTTCATGATTTAGAATATAATACATGTACACTTTATATAATTTTCTCTTTAGTATTTAAGATGTCCTCTATTTTCTAAACAGATTGGTTGGTTGGTCAAATAAATAAATCATTTGTTTTAAACAGGTCAAGGTGAAGATGTTCTTAAAGGGTCCCAGATCACATATGTTACAGGTGTAGAAGGGGACGATGTTGTGTCTACACAAGTAGCCACAGTAACCCAGTCTGGGTTGAGTCAACAAGTTACTCTGATATCCCAGGATGGGACTCAGCATGTAAGTATCCACTGAAAGCCAAATAGGTCAAATAATATTTTTCTGAACCTGGGCTTGAAAGGCAGGCTGGAACCCCATTGAGGAAAACCTTGAATATCAGGGCACAAAGTTTGGACTTCAGCCTATAGGCAGAGGCAGACTCCTGAAGGTTTTTCAGAAGGTTTTTCAGTAGTCTGCTGAAAGAGACTAAGCGTGAGGAGATTAGTAGAGGGAGAATATTTGCGACTCTGTAGAATCCAAATGGTGGTATTGGTATAGCTCAAAGGTAAGATGAAGGTCAGAAGTACAGGGAGATTGAGGGCTTTGAAAAGTAATGGATCCATGTGAAACACAACTTAGAGAAGGGATGGGTTCTGATGGTTGATTATATCCAGGAGGTGAGATTGAGAAATCAGGAGAGCCTCGGCCAAGGTGATCAGGATATTATGGCATCCTGGGAATCAGTGATGGGCAAACATGTACAATTTCCAAAGCATGGAACTCTCCTTACCAGGAATCATGGGAGTTTACTCAATTAGCTTCACAGTGTTGAGAGAACAGGTATCTTAATTTTCTCTGGAAAAGCACAACGTGATGGTTGTTCTCTGATAGCCAAACTTGTCATTGTTTTCTAGATGCCACTAGCCTGCTGAGCCTCGATTCATTTTTAAGCTCTAGCTAAGGTTGTCTTAGTACCTGGTGGAAATAGGCACATGGGGTATGATGTGCTTCTTTACCCTCCTATATCTCCCTCTTCTATGGAGAACTCTCTCTGTATCTATCTCTCTTAGAGCTTTAACCTTCCTGATTAATCTGCCCTTTGTTTTGATAACTATTAACATGCTAATGTTAGCTAGGAGGCAGAACATATTCAGGATTGGAAAATATAAAGCACTCATACCATCCTATTCATCTCCCGCCCACCACCCCACCACCCCCCATTTTGACATCACTAATTCCATACAGTACTCTTTGTCCACTGGCTAGCATACAAGATTAAACATATTTACTTAACCCAGTTTTAACTCAGTATTAGCCCTAATACCTATTCATCTCCCGCCCACCACCCCACCACCCCCCATTTTGACATCACTAATTCCATACAGTACTCTTTGTCCACTGTCTAGCATACAAGATTAAACATATTTACTTAACCCAGTTTTAACTCAGTATTAGCCCTAATACTTTTTCTTGAATTAGATCATCACCTACAGAGGTCTTATGGAGATCATTTGATGTAACCTTCCTCCCTGCCTGTACAGGAGAAATACCCTCTATAGCAGCTCTGAAACGGCCACTACAATTAGGCAGTTTCTCTAAGAGGCAGCCTGTTCCGTTGTTGGATAATTTTTGTGTTTATCAGACTGGAATCCACCCCTATATTATCCACTCATGGCTCCTTTCTGATTATACCAAATAAGTCTAATTCTTCTTCATAAATTCCAAAACAACTATCTTCTCCATCTCAATGTTGTATTTTCTCTAGACTTAACCTTCCCGTTTCCTTAAGGAATTAGATTTTCCATTCTATTCCTTTAGTCAGTTAAACAATAAACATTTATTGAGCATCAACTCCACACCATTTTGGTAGACTCAATCCGGGGAATACAGGAAGGAAGATATTACAGTCCATTAGGAGAGGGACACTTCTAAAATGAATTATAATTTCTCATAATGAAGGGTATAATTGAGTAATATATAAAGTGCTGCAGTAGCTTGGAAGAGGGAGTAAATGATTTTTCCTAAAAGAATCTTGAAGGCCCTTGTAGACAATGGCCATTCAGTTGGGTCTTGAAGGATTTCCATGAGCTCACCGGGCAGAGAGTGAAGGAAAGGGCAAGTCATGAAAATATAACAGAATATGACACTCAATGGGACTGCAAATGATTAGCTGTGGCTGGAGTGTCAGATGCTGGTTTGAAACTAGTGGAAGATGACTCTAAGGAAATTGGTAAAGACAAGGTCATGAAAGGGTCAAGAATGCCACGTAAGAAGTCTGAACTGTAGGCAATAGGGAGTTACAGGGGATTTAAGCAGGGAGCATTATGAGATTTGTATTGTTTTGTCTGAGAAAGGTGTCAAGGTAGAGGATGGCTAGGGAAGGATTAAACTGGATACCTGGAGAGAAGTTGGATTATTGCAGAAATTCAGATGAGAGAAAAATAAATTAGCAACAGGGATAGAGAGGAGATGCATTTAAGAAATGTTGATTTTTTTTGATAACTAAAAGAGTTTATTCCATTATAAAAGGCTTATTTGCTCCCTCAGAGTAAACTTATACAAGGATTAGGCCCAGTCCTTAATCAAGATTGCCATATATAACAAGAAACATTGACTGGTTTGTAAAATGCACTGTATTGCAGGTCAACATATCTCAAGCTGACATGCAGGCCATTGGCAACACCATCACAATGGTAACGCAGGATGGCACGCCCATCACAGTCCCTGCTCATGATGCAGTCATCTCCTCAGCAGGAACACACTCGGTTGCTATGGTTACTGCTGAGGGTACAGAAGGGCAGCAGGTAATTACTTTTTTCTGTTATATCTTCTTTTTTTTTTTTTTTTTTTTTTTCTTGACTGGTTTGTAAAATGCACTGTATTGCAGGTCAACATATCTCAAGCTGACATGCAGGCCATCGGCAACACCATCACAATGGTAACGCAGGATGGCACGCCCATCACAGTCCCTGCTCATGATGCAGTCATCTCCTCAGCAGGAACACACTCGGTTGCTATGGTTACTGCTGAGGGTACAGAAGGGCAGCAGGTAATTACTTTTTTCTGTTATATCTTCTTTTTTTTTTTTTTTTTTTTTTGGCAAGTGGCTGGTACGGGGATTTGAACCCTTGACCTTGGTATTGCAACACCATGCTCTAACCAATTGAACTAACTGGCCAGCCCTTTTCTGTTACAGCAATCAATTTGTATCTCAGTATTAAAGCTGTTACACAGATGTACAGTATGGTACAGGGGTTAAGCACAGAAACTTCAGATTGAATCTCATTTTTGCACTTAGCTACTTAACCCTCAGAGCCTGTTTTTCCTCATGTATAAAACAGGAGTGATAGTTACATCTATCCCAGAAGGTCGATATAAGAATTGAATGAGATAATGAATATAAAATACTCAGCCCAGGTTTATATTAAGTGTTCAGAAATGCTGGCTATTCCTATTGTCATCATCAACATCAGATACTTAGGAAATAGCTTCATTTGCAAAATTTTAATTTTTTGAATATATAATATATTCACATGATTTAAAAATCAAAAAATATATACAGGTATGCAATGAAAAGTCTTCCTCCCATCCCTGCCTCCATCAACTCAGTTTTTGCCCCCCACAGATAATTCACTTTTATTAGTTTCTTGTGTATTCTTTCAGCAATTCATTAAATATATACAAACAAATACAAATAGTTGTTTCCCTGCCCTTTTTTTGGATGGTAGTAAACTGTCCTGTTTGCATCTTCTTGTTTTTTAAACTTAATACATCTTGAAAATCTTTCTTCATTATATAGAGAGCTTCTTCATTCTTTTTAAATCTGCATTGTATTCTGCTGAATGGATTTGCCATAATTAATTTAAAGTCTTGTGCTGTTTCAAACAACACATAACCTTGTGCATATGTGATTTTGCATGTGTGTGAACAGATGCGCTAGATAAATCCCTAGCATAGGATTGCTGGGTACAGAGATGTATGCATTTGTAATTGTGATAGATGTTGCCAAACTTCCCTTCTAGAGTTGTGCCAGTCTACATTCCCACCTGCAGGGTTTGAGAGTGCCTATTCTCCTTCAAGCATAGTTACAATAGTGGTATCATACTTTTGGATTTTTGCCAATCTGTTGTATTTTTTTATAGTTTCTATTTTCACTTCCCTTAAAATAAATGATATTAATATATTTAAAAACTGTTCTTGAACTGAGCTAAAGGCACAGTCTCACTGCAGCTACCTTACCCTGTTCAATGAAAGAGTCTGTCAAAATTATTAGCTCTGAGTCATCCAAGTTCATTTATAGATTCAATACCATCAACAATCAAATTTCCAGCAGGATTTTTTGAAGATATGGATAAGCTGATTCTAAAATTTACGTGAAAATCCAAAGGACCTATCTATAATAGCTAAAACAATCTTGAAAAAAGAACGAAGTTGGAGGTCTTATATACTTTGAAATGCAAAATTCAGAATAATAAAACTTCTAGAAGAAAAGAGAGGTGAATATTTTTGCAACCTTACGGTAAAAATTCCTTGGACAGTATACAGAATGCACTGACAATAAAAGAAAAAACTGATAGGGCCGGCCCGGTGGCGCACTGCTATAGTGCGCTGCTTGGGAGTGTGGTGGCGCTCCCGCCGAGGGTTTGGATCCCACATACAGACCAGTTC